ATCACGATGCAATTGTGTTACTGGCTTATTAACAGACGATTAACGTTTAGCTTTTTCTCCGGCGCGTCGTGGTCAGCATTAAGGTTGCATCTGGAGGATTAGTGCCCACTTGCACATATTGCTTGGAACTACGAGGATAGCGAGTTATTTGATCTCAAATTGACTTTGTATCGTTGATCGTATGACTTGATTTTGTAGTGGGCTTTCGTGTTACCAATCATTATAAATTCAGTTTCTTGTCGTGTATACACGTAAAAATGGGAGTATATAATAATAAGAAAAATGATTTATTCTCAGTATGCAAAAATACCAGAAATACAGATGAAAGGTAAATTAAAGGATATGCCACTCAGATTTTACTGAAGCACATTGCGATATGCAACAGCGCCGATCAGTAGCCTCTGCCGCTTACTCTGCCACGCTTAAAAAAACACTTCAACGGTTTAAAACGCGATATATATTAGTTAAACTTATTTGAAAACTATTTTAACAACGGCCCGACGTTTCGGATGCTTTGCAGCAGCCGTGGTCTCGGGAAGGGCGTTAACACAATACAGAAAACATCACAATGTTTATCGACATTGTGATTTTTTCTTGCACATCTACAGAGACATTTTAATCTGTCACTACTCTTATTATTTAGGGTAATGTACAGACTATAATAATTTATTACACTGGCCACTCGATAGTCTGTCACTAGCAGAATCGGGTCCCTGGTTATAATGTCTGAAGCTTTAATGAGCATTAACGGTGTCTTTGCATATTAGTAGGCGCGTATTCAATCTACCGCTAATGTAATCGAATGTCACACAATCCTGTTTAGCCCGGGATCACCCAGCGTTCGCGGGATGATTGATCGCTTATTGAATTAACCACGATGACACTATAATCATTATAATATCATAAAGATATTAAAGACTTCTTATCGTGTGCCCACTTAATGCAATTTTCAAGAAACTACTAATATTCTTCTAAGTAGAAGAGAAATGTAAATAATTAATGAGATAATCGCTATGCAGTATGTTTGCTCAATCACAAAAACATTTCATTAAATTGCTTAGATAGAGACAACATGGTTATAATGGTTTTACGAAATTCTACACAAAAATATATATCCTCGAAACCGATACATAAGCTTCTTAGTTTATATGTTTGACTAGCTGACCTGGCACACGTGGGATTGCCAAGTAGCGAAGTATTCTGACAAAATTTGATTACCACAAAAACGCGTCTTGCGAGTTCATCTTAAAAGATAGACATATACAGTCGTGAACATTTTTTAGACTTTCTTAAGAATATAACTCTTTCACAAATATTTTTTCCGTATCGTGAACTGTTTTTGCAGCGCACGCAACGGCACCCTCAAAGATAATATTTTTTCCAGATTTCTCTCTGTATGCATGTATTGTCTCGATTGCTCGAAGAATTGACCGGTCAATTCTTCGAGCAATCGAGGAGTCAACATCTCCTGAAGATGCCGTCCACACGTGATGGCAAAACGTCGAGAACCTCTTCTCGCTCACATCGGCCGAACAGCCCGAAAGACAATAATATGCTGATCGATGGCCGTGAAAGCCTTACTCAATTTATTCTCTCTGTATCTTCGCTGCCATTGGTCACAACCTGATTTTTTCTACTAAACTAAAGCCTTCCTAATAAGTGGTTCAACCAAAACAAAATATTTTTTAAGTATAAACCAGTAGTTCCTTAACGCGCGTTCAAACAAACAAACTTTTCAGCTTCACCTTAGATATTATGTAGATGGAAAAAAATTTAATATTTTGTTTATTTTAAGTACGTAAAAAACGAACCATGGTACTTTAAGATTTTATATGTACGGCGAATAATTTTAAGATGCGACGTCGTCTATTATTGTTTCACTTTCGCTCGAGTGATTCCTAGATCACAAAAAGCGACCGGTTTATCACGTCTCGTTCGCGATGTTTCAAGGGGGCAATTCCAAATGAACTGATATATTATTTAAGGCGATATAAGTCGCGAATTATGTCATTTTTACGAAATGTCATTTGTATGTCGTTTTGAGAATTGTTAATGGACCGTACTACATAGGTTATTTTCGATTTCCCACATAATATTCAAATTGACTTAAGTTTAAAATTATGTCACAATTGCAGAAAACAAGTGTCAAACGTCAACGTACATCAAATTATAGTAATATTAAAAGCTGAAGAGTTTGTTGATTTGTTTGAACGCGCTAATTTTAAGGAACTATTGATTCGAATTGAAAAATCAATTTTGTTATTGTATGGCTATAAAATTATCAGGCTGCGAGCAAAAGGAGCAACGAAAGGTGAAAAAAAAGGAATTCCTCTTTTAATGACCTAAAATGTCAGTAAACGTCTATCTTTTAATATACAGGCAATAACAATGGGACGCGGACGAAACCGTGAGTACCGCCTAGTATATTATATCACGTTGTTAAGAATTGACCATTCGCTTTGCGCACGGTAATATCCAGTCCTGTGAAAAAGGCTTTCCACGCAACCACAGACCGGACCAATACTCACCTTTCGCACTCGGTAAGATTACAAACTCATTCACCGCAAAGTGATTGAACCCAGAATCTATCCTTGGAAACTAGTTGCATAAAAGCAAAAACAACTAAAGCGTTATGTAATTAGGGTTGTCATCAAACGGTTGCCGCGGTGAAATTAAAGTACACAGTTCACGCGATAAATAAATTCATAAATAGAAATTTACGAACATATTCTTTTATCTGTATATAGGTATACAAAGGCATTAACTTCAATATAAATTTCAACTCGTTTAAATCCGCGATTTTTTTTCAAGATCTACTCATTTAAAGATTTTATTAAAAGTCATTTTAAGCTATGGCTGTTAATTTTAAGTTTAGTTTTGAAAACCTCATCAAAAATATATACAAGTATTATTTGCTATTAGGGTACTGCCTTGCAGACTCCTAGTGTCCCGATTCCAATGCAAACTCCATATGCCAAAATAGGCTGACAGCATCTTGTTCATGTTATATGGCTATTTCACCTAACTCAAGTGAATCGTATGCTTATCAGTCCTTTAAAAAAATCATATAAAATAATCATAAAAAACGTTTTTAATTTTAAGAGTCTCAGGAACCACGTTATGCTGTCACTCTCGGTTATAACTAGCCACGGAGTGTCAACGCTGGACGTCAACCAGGAGCTTGCAGTTTGAGCCCAGCCGTGGGACAGTAATAGGTAGAAACAACAAACAAAGCTAATCAAGATTCCAATTATAGTATCCCTGAAGGCTATAAAATACTTAGAGGCAATAAATAGAACACACAACAATTGTTCATAGTTCGCACAAGCAACAGATTACGGAATCATTTCCGGTCCGTACCGGCGCTAGATGTTCAGCTTCCTGTAACGCTCTCCATTGTTTCACACTGATTACTTCTCACCAATAAATATAGCATTTTACTGCTGTCTCATTCTCAGCATTATATCGGATCCAAGAATTGTTATTTTGCATATTGTTACGGAAAACAGAGATAGCGTTCTGTATATCGGATTTAGGATTGTGCTAAAGGTGGCGCTGCTATGTAAAACTGACGCAATATATACTTATATAGAAATAATAATCAAAAAATCTGACGCAATAAACATGTACATAAAAGTAATAAGTAGTAAGCAATAATTGATGTAATTAAAACTTTATAATATTTAAGTCTAATTTAAACTTGTAAAACGAAAATTTTCTATTATTAAAATAACTGACAACCCTATTTAACTCATGAACGAAACCTACATTAGGGTCTTCCTTGGGCCGCTTTGATCGACACCAAAATATCACTTCTTTTTTCGTATTCCAGTGAGTCAGCAAAAATAGTGAAAATGGTTATATAAACGATAGATTTCCTTCGAAAGAAATACAATTCATTTGGAGAGTAGAACATACTGCTTAAGATTCAAATTATAGATATTATTCAAAGAAGAACGTAAACAACGAAACAAATTCGAATTGTTAGCATTTTCCACCATTTTAATTATCACACTCCTTTTTCGGGTAGGAAGAAATCCGTAACATCGATAATAACATCCCTAGTTTTAAATCTCTTTGTTATGTCTCGATTAACATTTTATGTATGTGCAAGAAAGTGTTAATAATAGACAAAACTGCGGCCATAATGAAGGAAAATTCTTCTCTCGGTGATGTATAGCCAATAAATATCATTAAAATGATTTAAGACGTCAGCGTGATCAAAGAATCTAAGAAAGTCACACGAACAGTTTGTCATTGATTAACGTATGTATACGTATACGTATGTATGTACACCAAAATAGGGTCACCTACTAAATGACAAGGCTATCGCGAAGTCATATAGAATCGGCTTTTAGATGCATCTTATCATAACTTAAACAATAAGAAACGAAAAATCTTTATCATCATCAAATGTCATGAAAGATAATGTCAGAGCACAAAAATATTACTCACATAATATTGTTCAGTTAGATATTACTTTTATTTTTAAGAACTGAAGCCGAGGCGCGATTAAACTCCACGGATTTTTCATCTGTGGACTGTGAATTTCGATTCCTACCATCCATTTAATATCCAGATTTCCAGACGAAGTCCAACATGTTTCAGAAAAATTAGAAATATGTTTTGACGTCGTTGTGACCCAACCCACGACCCGTCGATTATTAGCCATCACTCCAAGCCCAGTCAAACCCACTAAAGCTGTTATAGAATCTATTCCGAAAACGTGTAGTTAGATATGGGCGTATTGGCAACTTTTTACGCTTCGTAACTGTAAAAGACATCATCATCAAGGTCATCGGTCAAACTACGAGGTTTGGCTTGTTTAATTTTGTAGTACAGATATTTGACGAGAGTATAATTCATATCAAATTAAAAGAAAACTACAAGACAGATTGTAGACACAAGAAGTTTAGCATAAGTATTGCTCTCGTCAAAACAATCTTATTATTAAGGAACAATTACTAAAACAAAAGAGTAGTCAATAATCTAACACTCACCTCATATTCAGATTTGACCCGTTGTCTTCTGGTGTCATCTGAAAAAAAAAATACTTAAATGCAATAACAATAGATAAGCGCACACTTTTAATCATTTTAAACCGGTTGAATTTTAAACTGTATTAGTGATTGTATAAACTACGATCCATTTCGAAAAGTAGTTTTTTTTTATTTTTATGTGCAAACTCGGGAAATCTACCTACATGTAATAAATAGTGAACTATATGCAAATTCTAACATGCATACAAATTGCCAGACATCTTATTGTTTAGATTAACATGTTGTTTCATACAAGTCCGTTCCACTCTACTAACAGTTACATTTTGCAAACATCAGATGCTCCTCACAACTAGAGTACCAGTAAAGTACCCGACTGTTGAGGTCATTGACCGCAACGACAATTCACAAACTTTTGTTGCCATGTGTATGAAGCAGATATGTCACCAGCAAACCGTACAATTCAGGTATATAAAATTTCTAATAGGATCGCTCCTCTAGGTCTGTTGATAATATCCATCAGTAAAGCGGACATAGAAATGTGTTCAATGTATGCAAAACTTTGCCAAGTAAGTGTATATAAATCCTTAGCGACTATTTCGATATGTTTCCCTTCTCCGGCAAATATATATCGGAATATACACAAACAAAAAATCCGAATGACGACCGAGGTTTGATTTCCAGACATCGCGTAAGTCCGAAGTAAGTGGTATAAGCTACTAGACCAACACCGTTATTGCGTCTAATAATATAGATTACATAAATATTTGTGTTTTTAGTTTAAATTGTTAGGCAATTAATATTTGTGAAAATATTTCGCTCCACAGAGTACCTATATAGGTAACATACAATATAATTCTTGTTTTATTAGAAAGATGTTAGTAGGTATGTATCTTCGCCTATTTCTTAAAATGATTCTATCCATTGAAATCATAATTACTGTTTATACAAGTCGGTCTTTTTCATTACGTACATAAATTTTAGTTGATTTACGGGTCTCAACAGTGTGGCCATTTTGTTTTTTTGCTAAAGAATTGACTTTTTTGAGCGATTTTTTAATAGAGATTAAAACAATCGTAGGCGTGAAAGTATGTAACCAAAACTTCTGATTAAAAAAGGAAATACAAAAACATTGATAACTTTAATATTTTTCACTTATTAACACGATGGCAGTATATAAATAGAAAATAAATTGGGTGTAAATTGAAAAAAAATAGGCCTCAAGCAGGACTTGAAACGGCATCCACAGCGTTTCGTGTTGTTGCCTAACCAATTGATGTTTTCGATCCGATAATAGATTAAAAAAAATGTTCTCGAAAACTCTATTAGCTTTACCTTGCTGATAGATTTTACTAGATATATATCATTCGTTTATAGAAGCACACTCGGAAGTTAGGCCGGAGTTGTGAACAAAGATTAATAGTTCGTAGTACCGGTGACAAGTGACAATGTTTGCGCAGAGCATTCACCTGCCGACTAGCGACCAGCCAGATGCTGATTATCGTAATGCAATTATTTTACAACCCACCAACATACAGACAACAGAGTTTAAAATATATTGTGCTAACTGAATTGAGGAATATATTTTTACGTACCAATCATTTACCAGTTGATTTAATTTAAGCTTAAACAGGATTTTGGATTAAAAGAGTTGACGACACATTAGAGGTCTAGGTGAAACTTGAACCCACAACAGACAATTTTTAGCCCACGTTTTTGACAGAAATATCTTTATTACTTTTCGAAATCATTTTCTTCTTAAGTTTTTGCTCAGGTCATAAGTATTAAGTATACCAAAAGGACGACAAAAAAACTAAAATAAATACTTTAATACTCTTATAAAACATCAATTAATAAAAATGTATTAACGAAACAAGTTACATTAACCTTGAGAGTGTTATTTTTTAAACTAATACATGTTTATTTAATATTTGCGACGTGAGTAACTTAATAGCCTGTCCAGATCGAGTACGCCAATGAAGAAACTACCATAAACGTGATAAATATTATTTCAAGATGAACTCAGCTTTCATATGACACAGATAATGAAACGGTAACACGCGAATGCAAATATTTGGCTGCACAAGTGAGAATATTAAGGTTACATGGTTACATTGCTAATGATACACAAAACATAAGTGGGTTTACTATTACATATATATGATAATGAACGCATATATAAAGCTGAAGAGTTTGTTTGTATAAACGCGCTAATCTCAAGGACTACTCAGGGGGTTCGAATTGAAAAAATAATTTTGTGTTGGTTAGAGCATTTATTGAGGAAGCCTATAAGCTTTAACACATCGCGATGTGACTAATACAAGCGAAGAAACAGCGGGAATGTGGAAAAAAGGGGGGAATTCATTCTACTCTGTGGTTTTCTGAAGCGAACGCTGCGAATACGGTTTAAGACACGAATCTAAAATAATGGCCGCGACACTATATGTCTATCTTTTAAAATTAACTTGCAAGAACGACGGGACGCGACCGATGTCGTGAGTAACTGCTAAAATTTATAAAGAAAGGGAAGAGGTTTGTCAAAACAAATTTGGATGTCCAAAATAACTATTCTACGCGGACGAAGCCGCTGCAACAGCTAGTATGATAATATTTAGAAGAAATTTGAACAAGTTTAATTCTTAGAAAAGTTTGTATGTTTTAGAAGTTTAATGTCAACACTAACAGCTATTGTTAGAAATTATATTGGTATTAAGTAGCGGCACGTGGGTAAACGGTTTGTAAATATTACACGAACGTTTCGCCGTTGTATTTTGTGTTTTTCGACTTCAGTGTTCAATAGCGAGGTTATTCAATATGATAAAAGAATGGCGACGATCTAATACTAGACTGAACTGACATAAATCCAAATTATATCATTCTATCTATTTTATCTATATGTATCTATGTAACGCTACAGTCCCTTGGGCCTTGGCTTGGTTAATCCTACCAACAGTCCTATCTTGTCTAGGTGTCTCCAGTTTCTGGCCTTTAAAATCCTAACGTCTTGCCCGCCACGTCATCTAGACTACGTAATTTTCGACTGCTACGTCGTCCCTCTCCCATCTTCAATTCTACTGCAGACAACGTGCCCTACCCGGAGCGTTCACACCATATTTTCGTAGAAACCTAACACACAGAGGTTCATTGCACAGCTGGTAAAATTCGACAATGTTAAGAATTTTCAATCTACTTCTTTCTGGGACTGCAATTTCGTTTTATTGCAATAAAACAATTTTTTTCAACTAATGTTCCCGCGGGGGGGATTAAAAAAAAAAACGGGGTTATTTTCTCCCCCCGCCCCCCCCCCCCCCTCCCAAAAAAAGAAAAAAAAAAAAACAAAAAAAAAGCGACGAAAATATACGCCCACCCGGTCACGGTTCGGCTGCTCCCCCCATTTAAGACTTAGTCATCTATGAAATCGTGTGTAGGCTAACATATGAAATAATCATTTAAAAAAAGAGCTTCAGGGCTATGTTTTTTATAAATAGATGGGCGAAGTCGTTAGGAATATCATATTTGTGGACTTCCGTTGCGTGCGCTGTGAAAACTGTTCAAGAAGCCAAAAAATATGTATGTAAGAATGATTTCTTTAAATGATGAAAAAATGAACCTGAAAGTATATGTCTATCTTTTAAGACTAACTCGCTAGCACGACGGGACACGGACGACGTCGTGAGTTAACAGGTAAGTGAACAGCTACAATTTATAAAGCTTACGACGCTGTTTGCCAAAATAAACATATACCGATATAACTATTTAAGGCGTACAAAGTCGCGGCAAGTTAGTCACTAACAATTTCTCAGTAAACTACCTGACGGCGCATACGGCATTTTAGGGAGACCATAGACCCACGGTCCTAATACGTGACGTATTGAATAACGCTGGAGAGGCTCGAAAGTTGATTGTGTTGGGGGAATATGGGACGAGCTTTCTCTGGTGGCGGAGCCGCGGTGCGCGGGCGCATAATTACATGCATTACCGAGATATCAGGAACCTGCTCACTGCTCTCTGTCACTACGCAGCGTGCAATTATGTCATTACGCGTCGTAATTATCTCACTTTTATAGGTCATTTTCCACGAGAGAATGACAACGTGAGCTTAGATTTCCAATTCTTGACATCTATTAAAAAAAATATCTTGTATCATTTTGGAGTCCATCTGAAGTTTTGACCACAACTTGTTTAAGGAACTTCTTTAACTTTGGGGAGCCCAAAAAGCTCCACCATTCCGCCACATATTCATTATATAAGAAGTTGCAACTATCAAGAAATAATTTAAAAATCGAAAATAAATTAAAAAAATGTTCGACTCGGGCAGGACTTGAACCGGCATCGTCAGCGTTCCGTGCTGTTGCTCTACCAATTGAGCTACCGAGTCAAGTCCTGCCCGAGTCGAAATTTTTTTCAATTTATTTTCGATTTTTAAATTATATAGTGCCTTCATGTGCAATAACATGTAAAAAATAATAAAGTTTTCAAACTATCAAGACTTGTTTAAAACTTTAGAAATTATTGCCAGTGTTGATCTAAACGCCCTTTAACTTGGTTCAGTCTTTGGCGTCAGTTTCTAAACCCGATTAATCTGCTTCGGACGAAAATCGACCTCCAGTCGGACACTTCTTAATACGTATAATTTAAAAATTTCGAAAACCTTGTACGGATGAGAATTATGAAATCAGAGATACTTGTCAATAATCCAAAACAAAGGCTTCTTACAGAACAATAAATGAAGAAATAATAGACGAATATCAATGAGTTCCGGATTGATATCGTGATGCTCAAATTGAGATAGCATCGCACGAAAAACGGAGTGTATGGAGTTTCACATTGCCAAAATTGTAACACAGAAAGTCATTGAGATAAGATAGAAAATCACAAGATGGTATTGTTGGGAGGCAAGTAATTCAGTTGCTAGCTTAAATATTAATCTAGAAATCTAATGTAAATGAGATCGACTGACATTATATGGGGATGAACGTACTTATTTACAGAAGACACTTAAAAAATCCGCTTATATTTGCCTGTGCATAGGATACCTTGT